AAAAAAACGAAAAAAAAAATAAACGAAACAATATCGGGCATCAATGGAGACAAGGCTACCACGGCTTTATATATTAAAACGTTTATAACCGCCCAACACAATACACGCTAAAACAAATTGCATTTCAGTTTACAAATTGAGCAACCAAAAAAAATCCACCATATAAAAGTAGAAGACAGTACTACAAAATATGTCTAACATCTTTCATAAGTTTGACCCACACCGTGTACAACATAATCTCGAACAGAACCACAAAAGTTATAATCACATTTAAGGTAGGAAAGTGAATCGGGGAGCTAGTTATCGATATTTTAATCTAGTACGGAAAACTAAAACTGACGCACGCCTCCAACGAGTTTTAACTGAAGTCAACGGGCCTGATCTTCATCTCTGTCCGCTTAGCGGAGTAGCTTCCACCCTTCCAGGTACGCCAGTTGACGCCGTCGTGGACGGATTTGTGAGGCCCACGGTAATAGTAGCCATTCAGGTTGGAATATGCACAGCAGTTGAACCACCAAGCTCCTTTAGTTACCACAGCGCAGTTTCCCGGGCAATTATCATTGTCGCGATCTTTTGATGTAAACGGTGAGTTACGATGATAGCCCAATGAATCACCAGTAGTTCCTGAAAATAAAGGCGTGCAAAAACTGACAGCACTGAGTCAACGAATATATAGGGGAAACTATTTTTCATCTACGAGGGAAAAAGAACAAGCAAAACTGTAAGCCTGGATTATTTTCGGCGAACGGTGAAGCCGAGGGAGACTAGGCAATACAGAAAGCCCTGGATAAACCTTCAGCAGATTGATTTATATGTCCAAGGAGTTTCCACTCGTAGAAATGAGTACATGTTGTCTATGAATCCTTGCCTTCCCAAAACAAGGCATTGAGAGGAAGACTAGATGGTTTTGTTACTTTGAAAAACTGATCTAAATCGATGTAAACATATAATTATTGCATAAACGCCTACCGGATTATTTTCCAAGACTGAGTTCATAGTTGCTTCTTTCACTCGAAACAGCAAAAACGTCGTACTCAGCGTATGCAGTCTTTCCTTGTGTATCTTCGAGATCCACTCGCAGTCTGTTCTTTGCCTTCGTCAGGCGGTTAATTTTGTCCAATCCCAGCCAAAACTCACCATTCAGATTACCAAAACCACGCTTGTAGTCGGGCCAACCGCGGGTGCTGAAATCAACGGAGCCATCCAATCTTTTCTGGAATACCGTCCACCCTCCACCGGCTGTTGTTTGGTCGCAGAAGACATCAAAGGCACCTGAATCATCGGGGTCGATTGTGTAAACACCGTTGATTCTTTTGCCAGATTTATACAGCTCAGCACAGTTTTTCTTCACTGCAAAAGTATAGAGTTATTTCAGTACATGACAGCGAGCAACGAGAAAGCGAAAGAATTTTATCCGTAGTGTTCACTTACCTGGCTTAAAAGTTTTGTTCCCCGTCATTGCAACGAGTTTTTTCTGTGCATCTGCTAGTTGATTCTGTATTTTGATGAGATGCGCCTTGATATCTTTGTTTGGCGGTCCTGAGTAATAGTTGTTGAAGTGCACGTTGTGGCATTTGGTCGACGGAGAAACAACTGGCGTTTTGTTGGACGCAACTTGGTTCGATGCATTCGTCACGCTACTGGCTGGGTGAAACAGTAAGCTGCAAATGAAAAGACAAAAAATCGCGTCAACGAAACTCATTCTCGGCTGAGAAGTGACCTCAACGTAGTGTGCGAAGATCTGTTAATTATAGTTAACTAAAGCTCGGCAAACTGGTGTGATGTTTACAGGGCCAGGATCAAGCCGCTTTTTCGTGTTTCGCAGATTGACCCATTCAACCATCGGACTTTTTCTTTGTTATGTTTATTTCTGAACACTGTGTACAAAATCCACAAATTCACTCACAAAAGAATGTTTAGACTACTCATTCACCACAGACTCGCACAAAGAAATAATAATCAGGAAGTAACTAAGTTACTAGAGAGACGCGGCTGAAAAAAAATGGGTGTTCCGAGGTATCTACTGACTCTAACGAAATTTTTGCCACATAAAAATTTGCGCTTTCTTAAAAATAGTAACAATTTGGTGACAGGAAAAAAGTACATTGTGAAAATTAGCATGCACAAATGGAATAACTGCAAATATATTGCGTGTAAAATTAAATAAAAATTGCAGCAATCATATTTACGGTTGACCGTCTTTTGCGATAGGCACGATTTCCAGCCGCAGTTCGGGAAAGGAGCCTGCGCTCCTCCCCCATCTCAGGGAGGAACGTAGACCAGACACGAGAGAGCGGCGGAAATCGAGCCTACTATTTTTGAGCTTGACGGAAGAAACTAGTGACATTATGCTAAACCGACTGGTCAGAGACCAGTGGAACTTATCGAGGAAAATGGAACGACATTTTCCGATCAAACCGGGCCAACCAAGAGGAATGGCTCTTAAGATTTTTTAGTCCTTTTCCGAATTCCCTATGTGGGCAATGAACCAATTTGTTAAAAGTGGAACAGGGAATTTCGGTCGGAATAATATGGCCGAAATAAGTGGACCACCTTCAGAGGTGATCCTGAATACTCCGGTCGGAAGAAACCGAAACGGACCTTTCAATTTGACTTCCGACCGAAATTTCCGGAATCTTTAGCATAATGCATGGAAAGCACTCCTTGTGGTTGGATCTGATCACCTGCTACTGTGACAATTGAGAACATCAGGGAGGGGTCCTCTCTGATCAGGCAATTTGTCGCGTTGAGCTTTGTAGAATATTGTCGAAATTGTTTTTGAAACAATTTCGAAATAGCATCTATTCCAACGTTTATCTAAAGGTTAACCAAGTCTGTCTCGAGGCAACTTACCGCGTGGTCGTGATGTTGTTGCCGTCTTACCCACTAGATATATGGAAAGCCAGTCATGTTTCATCTTCTTCAACAAAATCAACTGTGGATGTCTGGAGACGTCGAGCAGCACA